TCGCAAGTGAAGGAGTCCCTTTCCACACTTTTAAAATTAACTCAGATAGACCGCTAAAAGCGGGTGATAAAAAAGCTACCCAGAACGATGAAAGTAGAAGCTATTGAAAACGAGCTGAAGGAGTTAAAAATACCCGTAGAAAAAGTGAGGCAGCTGACCAGCTATAGGGAAGGTCCAGATAGTGAAGCTACCCTTGTTTCTAGTTGAAACCAAGCGAAATGATGATGGAAAGAAGATTTGGAATTTGGAAAAACTTCGAGGACTTGATGTCGTAGTCAGACAGTACAAGAAGAAGCCTGGACCTGTGCAGTGTCACAGGTGCCAGCGTTATGGACACTCAAGAGAGCACTGCCATTACAGAGCCCGCTGCATGAAAATGTGCAGGCTGGCATGAAACGTTCACGTGCAAAACTCCCAAGGAGAAACTACCGGCGCGCTGTGCGCTCTGTGATGGAAGTCATGTCTCGTCGTACAAGGGATGTGAAAAGTATCCTAAAATCCGAAGAAATGAACCCCAACTCTCAGCGAAAGAGCAGGAAGCTAGATTTAATTTGAATAAAGATGACTTCCCCACCTTGCCGGGTGGAAAACTGACGAAAACGCCAAAACTTGGCCCAGTTGGGCGAAAGGCGGAAAACCTGAAGAGAACATATTTGATTGGTTCAAAAAAGCAGCTTTGCAAAGTGAAGGAACTTTTTACGAAGTTTAAGTCAGCAAAGTCCCTAATGGGTAAAATTGAAGTCGGCATGGAAAGCCATCGAATACATTTCAAATATTGAATATGAGTTCTAATAACCATGCTCACGTGACAAATCTGATCAATGCGACGCATTCTTACTTAAGGATATCCCTTTTCAATGCAAATGGTGTTTACTACAAGAAACTTGAATTAATGGACTAACCTTTTTATCGGCTCATGATATTGACATTATGTTGATAAGTGAGACTCATCTCAAGCCTTGTGATAAGTTCAAAATCCAGGTTATAGCGTTATTAGAAGCGATAGGCTCAGGACTACCCGCGGAGGTACTGCAGTTGTGATCAAGAATCACATTAAATTCAACACTATCAAGCTCCCGACGACGACAAGATTACAATACACTGCAATTCTTGCTAGCAGTACGACCAATGAGAATTACCTTATAGTAGCAGCGTACAAACCCCGCAGGATATCAACTTACAGGACTTAGACATCATAATGTCGACGAATTTCCCTACCATACTTGCGGGTGATCTAAATGCAAAAGATCGCTCCTAGGGAGCCAGGATGGGTAACAGAAATGGTAGTCTGCTTAAAAACTATATCTATGCAAATAACTTACAGCTAGTCACCCCAAGTGAATACACTTTCTACTGTCGAAGTGGCGGAGAAGACATACTAGATATTGCATTACTTAAAAAATATTAGTCAGACTCCCTACTTAGAAGTCAAGAAAGAACTGTCGTCAGACCACTATCCAGTAGTGTTTGATTTTCACGGCTTTTACCCTGACCCTCCAAGGAAACGCACTAAAGTGAATTGGACCAGCTTTACAGATAAACTACGGAACATGCCTTGTAATCCCCATCTGAGAGACAGCGGGGAAATTGAAAGTGAAATTTATTCGCTGACTTCCAAAATTCAAAATGCGATTAAGAGTTCTTCGTATGCTTGCAGAGATACCTTAAGGAATAAACTCCCTGAAGATATATCTCACGACATAAAGGAAAGAAATAGAATTAGGAAAAGGTTTAATGTTACGCAAGACCCTTCACTTAAAAGGACTATAAACTACCTCAACAGGAAAATTCAGGCCGGCATCATGGAATTCAGGTCAAGTAATTGGGATAATCTTTTAGAGCATTTTAGCACTGATACAAGCTCTATGTGGAAAATTGTGAATGCGATGAAAAAAGATAGGACGTATCACATTGCTCCAATTAGTCACATGGGATCCAACCCACTATTCTGAAGAAGACATAGCCAATGTGTTCGCAGAGAAACTTGAGGAGACGTTTAGGCCCAACCCCTCGACCAACCCTCAGCACGAAGAGGAGGTTCAAAATGTCGTTAACATGCTCAAAAACAGGGATAATACGGATTATATAAAATTCATCTCCCCGAAAGAAGTCCATACTATCATTAAACATATCGATACCAAGAAAGCTCACGGGTTTGACGGGATCAGCAATCGTGCTCTGAAGGCACTCCCTCCAAGGTGTATAGTGCTACTTACAAACATCTTTAATGCTTGCATCAGGACGAGTTATCACCCTTCGCAGCGGAAACACTCGATTATTATCACTATACTGAAGCCGGGGGAAAACCCCTCACTTACAGACAGTTATCGTCCTATTAGCCTTCTTTAAACAACAGAATTACAGACCACCTAGAAAGATCGGATCTGATAGACCCGGCCCAATTTGGTTTCCAGAAACATCACAGTACAACCCATCAAGTACTAAATATCGTTGAGATTATCACGAGAGCTTTTTTCCACAAGACTGCTGTGGCAGCATGCTTCATAGACCTTAAGAAGGCCTTCGACAAGGTCTGGCACGAAGGACTTGATTTACAAGCTAAATAACTTTCTTTTTCCTGTCAGCCTTGTGAAGTTAATCATCTCATACCTAAAAAGAAGAACCTTCCAGGTGAGAGTTGGAGACTCCCTTTCCGGAAGGAAAATCATTGCCAGCGGCGTCCCGCAAGGGTCTGTTATTGGCCCAAAATTATTCAACATTTTCGTTAATGATTTACCCAACCCACTGAATGCTAAAACCCTGAAATATGCAGACGACACGGTGATTTTATCGGAATCTAAAAGCCCCCAACTTGCTCTTACTAACCTACAGTTTCACATCAACATAGTAGCTGCTTGGTGTCAACTTTGGAGAATTAAAAATTAATACCGCGAAATGTAAAATTGTCCAATTCCGTCGCTACAGAAGAAATGTCACTACGAACACGGATATCAAGATAGAGAATGATGTGATTGTGATTCCAGTTTGCTCGTCCGCAAAGTACTTGGGAGTTACCCTAGATGATGATAGGCTCACCTTCAAAGAGCACGTAACCAACCAAGTAAATAAAGCAAACGGAGTTTTCATGTCGCTTTATACTGTTATAGGTAGGAAAATCGAAATTGAGCTTAAAAGCTAAAACGCATGATCTATCTCACTATGATTAGGCCAGTTATGCTCTACGCCGCCCCAGCGTGGGCAATTGCCAATAAGACGGATAGGAGGAAAACTAGAAGTCCTTCAAAACAAAATTTTGAGAGCCATCACTAAACGCGCCCTGGTTTGTACGAAATAGCATCATTCATGCAGACTTGAAAATAAAGCCCATTCCTGAACAAATCCTCATGGAGGCGCACAACTTCTTCGAAAAAATGGATAATTCTCCAGTGCACACGCTAAGAGAACTCGGTAATTATGACCCTACGGTGGACAGCGTGGTGAAGAGACCTCGGTCAATTCACCATAATGCGCGGTGGTGATGTAAATATGTAAATAGTGTACATATGAAGTTGTGTTTTGTGCTCTATCTAACCTTATTTAACCAAGTACTGTGTTACTGCCAAAATTAGCTATTTGCCTGGAAGCAGGCTAGAGACTCTGAATTAATTACTATGTGTTAAGGACTGTGTATTCTGTGATCTCACCACGCCCACTGCTGTGGTTCTACTCCTGATTACCTGCTGGACTGCGCACCCTATCTCAGTAACCTTACGCTACTATCCTGACCGAATGCATCATGCAAGGACTTGAATGCTGGATGATTTTGTTTTCCAAGTACTAATTTCCCAATTTTCGTATATTCAGCTTGACTTCGCCACGGAATGATTGCACCTTGTTCTAATGTCACGCCTCCGGGCGAGGTGCAGTAGCACCTTAATGTGCTAAAAACCGTGAATGGCCTTTATAGGCTGCACAGATTGTACAGGTCAAAACTCAAAGTAGTTGTATACCTGCGGTGAACCAGAAATAAATAAATAAATAAAATGGTTTATAGTTTCTTGGCGGAGACGGCTTAAAAAACTACTTGGAAAAGTGTCCGTTGTGAACAAAACTTATTAATTTGCTGTTATCTGGGTAAAACAGATATAGAAACATACGAATTACTAAAATTAACATGTCAGAATTATACAAGACCAATTATTCATGTTTTTAGAGTTTAAATAGGCTAATGAATATAAAAAGTTCTAAATCAATGTGGATATTACGATTTTGCTATAACTTTACCTGAACAAATCATAAATATTAGTACCGTAATTACTGAGAAAGATTCACATTCTAAAAACACTTTCTTGTATGAAATCAAGCAAATGCTTATCATGATAACACAAGACTTTTAAAGTTCCCGCAAGATTACTTTACGAAAGAAACATAAAGCGGGTGCCTCAGCTATATTATGACCCAAATGTAGCTCCATAAAACATTTTCGCCATCTTTTCCTAAAAAGTAACTGATGTTCATATACAGTGAGACTGAAATAGCAACTTTAAAGGCTTTCAGGGGAAAGCTTGAAAATACATACAAGAAACGGTTTCAAAAAGATCTTCAGAACATTGCAACAATTTACAGCAAAGTTATTTTACTTCAAGAACAGCCAGTCATGATGTGAGAAGTGCCAACACACAAAATTAATTTTGATGCATATATTTTCTTATGATATTAGTGCCAGTCTCCTATTGCACATTTGCATCTTTGAAGTTTAGAAAATAAAAAGTTTTAACACGCGATTTATCTGATACGAATAATAAGAAAACATACTATAAATTTAATACTGGATGTTGTTTTTTTTGCCTAACTTTAAATTTTACAATAGCATGTTTCTCTTCCAATTTAATAAGATAAATTCTGCTTCTAGTCTGTGTAAAATATTGCTTTATGGGTTGTAATCAGAAAATATTTCCTTATGTGCAGAATAACTTTCGTGTGATGGAAATGGGAGATATGTAACATAACAATATACTTTTTATTCTAACTTTGATACGAAGTAAAAGACGTCTACTTACTTGCTTCGAAAGATGCGCTCTCGTAGCCTCGGACTTTGTCCATAAGCTCCAGGGAAGGAGCTGAAGGTTCTCCATCATCGTCCACTGCATCAGGTGGAGGAGTAACTGCAAGGAGATAACAAATTTTTAAAATCTCAGCCATGGGTAAAGTCACCCAGGGATAAATAGAAAGGGCTAGCTCATTTCTTTGTTCGACTCCTCGCCGACGCGAGCCTAATGGGGAAAATTAACAGGCAGTAATCTGACGTCACTGTGATGCCACCTGTTCTGATTTCCCGCGTTTAAAACTGTAGTTTCATTGAGCTGCGAGCCGATTTTCTAGAGGTTACATATCCCAATTATTTTAATCATTATATATATATCTGTTTTCTAATAATGTATATATTTTAAAATAATTTATATATATGTAATTTTAGCAGTTTTTATTTTAAATTCTATATTGTAAAGTACCATTTACCGTAATATGGCTTTTTGCGCTGTAGTAACTGTCGTAGCGTTACAGAAGTACGAAAGGAATGAGATATTTTTTTCATGGGACAAAGGATCCAAATGAGGTTTGGTTTTGACGAAAGAATGGATACACAAATGTCAAAGACAAGATTCAATTAATGCGAAGAGCGGAAAAATCTGCAGCGAACATTTTCTATGCAGTGTTTATGAAGATGATATGAAAAATCGCTTACTTGGATAGCCAAAAAAGAAAATGTTGAATGAATGCTGTGCCGAAAGAATTATGATGACAATAATAAATCGGAATTATGATGACAATAGTAAATCAAATTTTAATGATTTGAATAAACTCACAAATAAAAATAGATATTCCTGAATGCCTAAGTTTAAGATAAAACAAGAAGCATTGATAATTTGAAGAACAAAATAAATCCTTAGAACCTTGTATTAAAGTATTGAAAATAGAGAAAGAAAAAATTTGAATGTTGTTCAGCGGCAAAGAAGGTGGACGAATTAGACGCAATTTAAAGAAATGGTGCGCTAAATTTTAATGTAGTCCAAGAATTCAAATGATGTTCTTACTCTAAAGAAAGAAAGAGGCGAATATTTGTATTCTGTAGAAAAAATATGGTTTTAGTTTCGACGAGAAAATGCATATAGATTGAAACTCTGCTATGACTCTAAACTGGACCAAGTTCCGGTCTTTTCAAAATGTGCAGTTTGTCTTAATCAGAGTTATTTCGCGCTTGCCTCAAATTACTGAGAAACCACATTTTAGATTAAAGGATTTATTTTAGAAGATGGAACTGTTTTAAATTTTGTTATATTAAAGAGGTTTTAAATAGAGATGAGAAGAATCAAATTATGTCACAAAGTAAAACCGAATTATTTAATGGTCAGGAAAACGAGAGACCAAGTCGCTCCAGAGAAAACATTATTCAAATTACCGCAAAAGGTATACTCCACCACACAGGAAATCAAAAAGCATCTGACTTCTAGAGTTAATCGATAATGTCTTCGGTATTATGAATAGGACAACAAGAATAACAAGTATTTAACAAAACTAATTTTGTTAAGTACTTGTTTAAAGTTATTTTATTGTATCCTAGATTTTGTGATAAATTAGCATTCTAGATAAAAATAATAGTATAAAACATAAAGAATTGGCATAAAAGACTTGCTTCCTTTACTCACACTTTGAAAAATTAAATAAGTATAGGTACTCTGAGAAAGCTATTTTGTCAAAATTAAAGTAACAATCTTACATACATTTATTAATTGTAATATAATAGATATAAGTATAAATTAAAAAATTATTAAAAAAAATTATTATCTTGAATCGAGAGAATTATAACCATGTAAAATTTACAATTGGCAAAAAATCAACGTAGGTAGCAGAAATGTTGCCATATATGTCATATATGTTTAAAACTATTTCAATGTAAAATTTTTTTTGAGTAAATTTAAATAGATGCTATTATGTTATCTTAGAAGCAGTATAAAAAATTCTCCCAGTTCACATGCAGATAAAGAAATGGTTAGAAATAAACGTTCATTAAAAAAAAACTGCAAATAAAAATTGAAAAAAAACCCCCGGAACTTTATGTTAAAAGTAGCACATTTTATCTATTATTTTAAAATGATAAGTATTATTAATTTTTAATGGTTCAGTCTAAATGCATAAAGCAGTAACATTGTCTCTTCCAAATTATAGCTATCTTCACACAGCTCTTCAAACGCTGGTTCAAAATCGCTAATTTTCAAGCTTGAATTGCATCTGCGCGCTCAGTCATCAGATACGTCATCACTTCTCACTTTCTGCTTCAGAGGGAAAAGCTCTATGAGCTAGCCCTTCTCTTCTAAGTCCTGAAAGTCACCGACATGCAGAGAATAATAAAATAATAACTACTATTATAATAAAACACTCAAAGCAGGGGAATGCCAGCTACTCAATAATATAAATTCAGAAAGACACTACTAACTGCAAATTGTAGGCAAATGTTATTGCCATTCCCCCCCCCCCAAAAAAAAGTTAAAAGTCGCCAAAACACGTTAATAGTATTCGAGCTGATATGCAAATACTTCAATACAGCAAGGAAAGCTTTAAGTTTTAAGTGGTTCGAGAGCCAGTTTATGATCTTTCCTCAGAGTTAAGAGCCAAACTGCATGGAACCATTTTAGTTGCAAAGTACAGGTAAAATATTAATTATGAAAAAATTAAGAACAGAACAATTGAATTAAATATACCTAAACTAATAATTAGTAAATAATAAAATTGATTAAAAAAAGAAGTTGGTACAATAATTGATTAGGAATCCTACTATCCAAAATATTATCAGCATATAATCAACATAGCTATAACAAAATTTTAGAGAAATGAATATGGTCACAAGAATTTTAATACTGGGATTGTTGTTGTTGATGAAACTGTGTTTCATGTGACACATGTATATAGTATGCAAAAGTAAAATAGTAATTATGTAGTATGTAAAAGTAATAATTATGTAATACATTTATCTCCCAAACAAAAGCTTCAATAATTCCAGCAACCAAATATAATTTATAAAAGTTTGACAGTGCGATATCGTTAAAATTTGATTTTTAAGATTAAAAAAATTTGAATTCCGATAACCTGCAGCTTTTTAAAACTTTATCCGAGCTAGCTTTTATAATGCCAACAAACGAAGCCAATGGAGCTTTTGGTTTGGAAGTTCGACATTCTTGTATCAAATCTTGACATTCTTGTATCAATCGTTGTGTAACAGTGCCGTCCTAAGACAACAGACATAGAGCTCATAAAATTCTTTATGCGACCTTAATTTTCTTAACACTTGGTCGTAGACAAGTACATTATTATAGAGTTGTCTATAATAATAGAACTTAAAAATATTAAGAATTGTGTATCTAATATGATGCAGGAGCAGCTTTGGCATCTAAAACTACTTGAAAGCTTATTGGAAGGGAGAAATACAAATTCAGAATAACAACAATAAATATTTTATATCATTCTTGTATCAAAATTTTCTCTAATACTTAAGAGATGCTGAAGAGAAAAAATGAGGCCTTACTCTATTTTACAACCGATATTGCAGTGGTTCAGTATACAAGTCAGGGAAGCTATGTAATTTCACATTGATGTTCTTCAAAACACAAAAGAATAAAGTATTTTTCTGTGATTTGAGGCGTTATTAATCTTGAAAGTAATCCATAATTCAGTAATCCATGCGAAACAAGGTTTCTGTCACTGAAAGGACGTTGTCGCTTAAAATGGTTATACAGTCAAGGTTAACTGCTAAGCATCTGCTGATGTTCTCCGCATGTAAACTCGTCCTGAAGTAGGAAATACTTAAAAGTTTGACCCATCTGAAAGACAGTTCTACAGTAGTCTCTACTTTGCATTTGTTTGTGAAATAAGAAATTTACAGATAGCAGCTGTGTAGTAAATATTCTGCTTATGAGGTTCCTTTCGTACTGTATGCATCGAAATTGGGTTCTGTAGATGCATATTAAGCTTAGCAGTCACATTTTTTGCAATACTTTTTCTTTTTGACGCAACAATGGGATGCGTCAAAAAAAAATTTGCTATGAGACTAGATAAATGGCCCATAAAATGAAACAGTTCTTCAAAATTTGTGTAATCATTACCTATTCACAATTATTAAAATATTCGTCGACAAATTTTGCTGCCATTGATTTGATATAACAAAACCCCTCTAAAATGATTACCTACGGTGCCAGTTAGACAGGCTAAGACAGACAGGTTACCTACGTTTCCAGATAGTTTGACATAATCAACTAAATAAATAAACATGCAGGGTTCAAAGCAGGTTTTTGGAAAGGTGGGAGTGTCATGAGAAGTATCAGTGTATAATTGATTGGTAAATTACATTTTCACAATTTTAAAATTTATTGCACCTTTTATTTTGCCTGTCAAACGAAAATTAATCAAAAAGTTAATTGAAAAATAGTGTAAATGATTTTTTAATTAAATACGGAATTGGTAGAGGTCCTTTTTTGTATTTAATTGAAAGACAGCTCTGAATTAAGCATCGCATTACGGTGAAACATAATTTAACAAACTCATGTAGCAGTATTAAAAATTATAAAGATTATTTTTATTAATATGATTCTTGAAAATTCGTTTAAAATCTTCTTATCTTTATTTCTCGCAATCATTTTCTCATTTTCGTCATTTGGAATTTTGGACACTTTTCAACTCAGATGAGTTTTCTTCATTATGTTTGAATGTTGTGCCAAACTTTTTCTCTTTCATATATTTTTTCCTTCTTTTTTTTTTAATGAATGGTATGAGTGCAATGCCTTTTCTCTGCGTTTTGAATTCTGTGCTATTATTATCACTTACCCGTGGGTAAAGGATAACTGAATTGCAACTGTGAATTTTTTTCTTCCGCTTTTCTGTTCTCTGAATTGGAGTATCATTTAATCGTTATGAGTTAATTTTATAAGAACAACCACATTGCTAATTGTTTATGTCATACCTAAGGTGCACTATTTTGATTTTCACGGTGTCAAATTGAAGATTTTTTAAATTCACGTTGGATTAAATCTCATAGATTTATGAGCCATGTATAACAGCTGTGAAGTGGGCAAAATGTAGGTTCTCAAATTTTTTAATTTGAAATATTCTAAGACTG